CTCAGTCCGCTGCCAGACTGCAGCTCCGTGTGTCTCCTTTTTTGGTATTTTCACGCAAATTCTTCTGCTAGTTGGGGTTTAGTCCACTTTTGTACCCTTCCCTTCAAGTCTCAGGGGTCCAAGATTATCTTCTATGTCTGTGTTAATTGGTTTCCCTTTTCTTTGTTGAAGAGCGTCTGTGCAGTCCTTGTGCCTAGTCCACCATCTTGCCGGAACTCCTTCCACTTGCAAGTTTTTAAGACCCTAGTCACTACTCACCAAAGTAGAATGTAGAACAATGTTTTTGTGTAGTATATTATGCCAATTGAGCTTGATGTCCCCTGGGACCATGGTCCCAAGCCCACAGGTCTAACTACTTGCTCCCTCAGGGTGGTTGGCTGTGGCCAAGAAGTTATTTTAACTTTGCCTCTTGTTAGCTCTATTATATACTTGGACATTCTTACAGCACATACAAATATGTATGTAGAAACATTGACTACCAACCTCATATATGGTCATGGGTATATTCCTTTTTGCCTGGACATACCTTTTTTCCAGATTCTTAGCAATGCCTGATTCTTATAATAAACAGCTAACTCACCTTTACTTCTCCTTTTTACCCAGGGTTTCTGTACACATTTTAAGTTGAGGTGTTGCTTTTTGTACATGGCAGCCTCTGGTTATTGTTTGTTTAGCTATTGGAATTTTTGTAAGGCATTATAATGATGTTTCCTTTTTGTAGAAGGCTTTGCCCCTGTTTTCCCTATTCTCCTCTTAGCTTGTTTTATGGGGACAGTGCCAGCAAACTAGATTACTAGACTCTGCCTATTACTCAAGGTCCTGCTGTTCAGTGATAATGTAGTCAATATGGTTTGATGATACTGTGAGGGATGTATTTTTAATAGAATTGCCCTCAGTGTTTGGGTGCTCATTTTCCCCTAAAACAAATGTGCTCAGAATGTTAATCTAAACTCTTTGCCCTCATTATGCAATGGAAGTGAAACATCTTAAATTAATTTGCTGTTGCTCTAAATTTCCTACACCTAGTCTGTGTTTTAATCCAGTGAATTAATGCTTGTGAGGCACTGGGAACATTACAGTTTTCCCATTTATCCTTTATGATAAGTCATTTCTGTCTGACACATCATCTCAGCTAGACACTGTGCCCTTTATATATCTGCAAGTCACAGGGGGCCATACAACCGTCAGCCTGTAATTTAAACCTGCTGTGCTTTCCACACCACCAAGTGTGTATGAATTTAAGGAGCTAGCTAACTTCAGTAATGTGCTTCTCTTTCATTTTGTTGTTGATCGTAGTTTAGTCTCTCCTCACCCCATATAGCTCAATAGGTTTTTTAATATTGGTGGCCAAACATTAGGTGTGGCAACCTTTCTTCAAGGATCTTTTGAACTCTGGTCACCATTGGGTGGGAGGGTAGGTGTAGGGATCCTCGCCTCCTAGAGACCATAGCTGTGAGGCCTCCTTCTCTATTTGCTGGGCTTCCTCTGTCCCCCCGAAAGTCTTGATTCCCAGTACTCCCAACCCAAGGCCCTTCACAAGGGCTTTGCTGTAGGTACTGCCCTCACTATCTCCAGCCACTGCAGCCAAAAAAGGCTCTCTTCCTCACAGAAAATGTGATTGGTTTTGGGAAACTTCTTTCTACACCTACCTTACAAGAATGCATTGAGTGTTAGAACATAGGAATTTGGTTGTCAGTCCTGTAAATAATGTTCATAATTAACCAGTTTGGAAAAATTCTTGCCGTCATTATTTTAATATTGTGAAGTGTTGTCAGTAGCCAGTTTTATTGTGAATACTTAAACCAAGAACCAAAATGCATAGAGACAGAAAGTAGATTAGTTGTTACCAGGGGTTGGAGGGAAGGGAGAATGGGGATATCAAGTTTCCATTTGGGGTGATAAAGACTTTTGGAAATAAATAATAATAGTGATTGAACGAGGAGCTCTGGTGGTACAGTGCCTAAGGCATTTGATTGCTAAACAGAAGGTTGGTAGTTCAAAGGCAGTTCCCACCAGCTACTCCACAGAAGGACGATGGGGCAATCTACTTCCATAAATATTTATCACATTGGAAACCCAGTGAGGGTCAATATGAGTTAGAATTGTCTCTATGGCAGTGGGTTTGGGTTTGGTTTTGGTGATTGAACAGCATGTTGAATGTAGTTAATGCCAGTGAATTGTGCACACAAAAATGCTTAAAATGGCAAATTTTATGTCATATATTTACCATAGCAAAATTTTTTTTTAAGTTTTAATTGAAAAATATAAGAGCCAAGATGGACCTTCTCCACCTCCATAGACCACCACTACCAGCAGCCATACTCTCCTACTCTCCCACCCCTTCCCTCACGGTGAACAACTTAAAAAAATAACAACAACAAACAATAACTCAAGAAAGGAAGCGGTATAATGTAAATAAATAAATAAATAAATAAAAGTAAGAAAGCATATGAGAAACCTCCAAGGGCCTTCCAGAGGCAAATGGATCTTGTATTCTAATGAGGAGATTATGAATAAGTATTAAGCAAACAAATAGCTAATGAGACTGCTCTGAAGTAAATGAAACAAGGAGATGTGATCGGCCATTTCAAAGAAGGTGACCAGTGAAGCCTCTCTGAAGGTGACATTTGAGTTGAGACCTAAAAGATAGATATCAACCGTGTGAGAAGTAAGCATAAAAGGATCCAAGGACAGAGGGTTTCAGGCAACCATGTAACACAACCATTGCCGTGGAATCGGATCCAACCCATAGCGACCCCTCCTTGGGTTGCCAAGGCAGTATCACTATGGAAGTAGATTGCCCAACCTTCCTTCCGGGGAGTGTCTGGTGGGTTTGAACTGCCAGCCTTCTGGTTAGCAGTCAAGTGCCTTAGACATCAGAGAAATGCTTAGAGAGCTGGCACCAGCAGGCAGAGCTACAGGTAGGGCATGACTGTTGAGTTTGGGATCAAGAAGCAGATACTCAACACATTCATGTTTGGGACTGCTTGTGAGAAAAGTTACAATGTCAGAAAAGCCAAACCGAGAAGGGGAGAGTCTGGCCTCTTATCTACCAAAGTAGAAGCAATTCTTCAAATGCCATAGGCTTTTATCGATCTGTTCCCTAATGGCTTTGCAAGTAGAAAGTGAAATTTTTAATGGTCCTTAAAGAGTGTGCAAATGTCATCGACCCATTGTCTATAAAAACCAATGGCTGTCTAGTCAGTTCCCATTCAGAGCAATCCCATGTGTGTCAGAGTGGAACTGTGCTCCACAGGGTTTTCAGTGGCAGATTTTTTAAACTCAGCCTGCCATTCCTCGGAAGCACCTCTGAGTAGTTTCAAACCTGCCATCTTTTGCTTAGCGGCAGAGCATGTTAATCATTTGCACCAGACAGGGACTTCTACTGTCTGTGTGTCTTGAGAAAGAAGAGGAACCTGGGACTGGAAAATAAATAAACCCCATGCAGCCTTCTGGAGAAACTGAAAGAAGGAAAACCCAAACCAAACCCACTAACATTGAGTCGATCTGACTCATAGCGACCACATTGTGTTTCCAAGGTGCTAAATCTTTATGGAAGTGGATTGCCCCATTTTCCTTCCACAGAGCAGCTGGTGGGTTTGAACCTCCAACCTTCTGGTTAGCAGTCAAATGCTTTAGGCACTGCACCACCAGGGCTCCTTAATAGGAAGGAGAAGTGCCCTTAAAAGAATTTCTGATCCTGTGTAGATTTGGGAAGGGCCCAGGAACCAGACATTATGATGAAGTTTGGATTTAGGAAGACTTGCAGTGTTGGGTTCAAATATCAACACTCTTAAGTTGTTAGCTGTGTGACCTTGGGTAAATTAGTTATTCATTCTATGTTTCAGTTGCTTTTTTTTTTTTTTCTTTTGTACTTTTTAAAAAATTATTACTATCATTTTTTGGTTTTCACTGCTATGAAAGGACCTCCAGATGTTGTTGAAGAACGATGTTTCTGGCCAGTCTTGTGGTGGCTCTGGGATAGGGAGAAGCTAACAGCCTTTATGTTTTGAAGTCTAGTCTCTATTTTATTAGCCATGTGTGGTTACTAATTAGTTAGCAATGGGTGAGATAGAAAAACCACATTAGACAAAGCGAGAAATAAACGAATAATAAAAACAAGACTCAGAAAATATGTGGAGAAAATTCATTTCTAAAATGTAACCCCTTGTTTTTAACTTTCCTCCCCATCTGTTCATTGCAGGTTTTGCTCTGCATCACCTACACCCCCACGTTTGATCTGAACGGGAGTGCCGTGCTGAAGATTGCAGAGGTGAGGGCCTGCGCCGCCCCCAGCCTCTGTGCTCTGTGTCTGTGCTGCCTGCCTCAGACCTGCTTTGCCTCTAGCTGGGATAAGTATTGGGGTGGAGCTAAGCCCCAGCAGAGGGGGCAAGCCTGGCTCCAATTATGACTGTGAGAATTTCCACTAAGGACTTGGTTTGTAGGACGCATGCTGTGTTGTCCACCGTCTTAGTCCTGTGCTGTGTGTCTTAGACTGCTGCGTGCTTGGGGTGCTTAACTTGAGGCTTTAACCATGGAAATAGTACCAGTTCCCCTACTCTGCTATACCCAGAAGAGCCGCTTTCTCAGTCTTTTTTTTTTTCCCCAAGATTAATTGAAAAGCATTTGACTTTAAAAAATGGCTTTTAAGAGATCAAATGTAAGATGTGGAGAGATGTTTATTGATTAAACTCCATTCCCATCTCTTTAACCCTGACGAATGCATTTTGTGACCATAATTAAGAAACCTTCTCTTTTCAATCTGCACTGCAACTTAGAGTAGCGTGTGCCATGTAGCACTCCCAAGAATCCATCCAATAGAAAACTTGTCTACTTAAATGTCCGGTGTATGCCTCTTTGACTTTTGGAAACATCAACATTCTAAAACTGCACTTTAATATGCTTAGAATGATTTTCCTTCCACTTCTTGAAAAGAATATCTTCAGGATTCATATGTTCTGGCAGGAGAGCATGTTTAGATCACAAAGAGGCAATGATTTTTAACCTTCTGAGATTACTGAGAAAGAGAGAAAGCCTAACTATCAGCTTTCATGGGTAATACTTCCACTAGAAGATAGGTGTGCTTTTATGGTATTGTGTGGCATTAAAGAGTGAAAGTTAGGAAAAATTTTTTGCATCTATCAAGAACAGTCAGGGCTGACTCAATGGCACATAACAACAACAACAACATCAAGAACAATGAAGTAGCAGCCAGTCGATCATTTGCTACAATATAAATCAGTTTTCAAATATGTATTGATATAGGCAGAAAGAACATGTTTAACACATTTATATTTTTATATAAAGAAATATATTGGTTATCAGTATCCAATTTTAATTCAATTTTAAGAATTACTTATGGGTGCTCTTGATATTTGCAAGTTCACTTTTAAAGTGACAAAAGTAGTTTTTGGTAATAACAGGGAACAGTGTTGCATGGAAGATGCTTGTCAGGACTTTGCCATCTGAACGAGGAGAAGGGAAAGGCTGCTTGTCACTGGCAGGGCCACTGCTGATGGGGCAGAGGATGGGGAGGGAGCACAGGGGTAGCAGGGCGGGGAGACTGCCGGGGAGGCCCACCTTCCATGGGGTTTCTTACAATGCTCACAGGATCCAGTTTTCAGTAAGAGAACCTGAGTGAGTTAGCAGACACACACTGCCATAGTGAATGCAGGTCAAGATTGTTCACTGTGGGCATCTGGAAGCCAGAACAAAGACTCAGCAGGACTGCCCAGATAGGAAGGAACTTCAGAACACAGTGTACTCCACCCAAACCAATCAAACTAAAACAAAAGAGAAAAAAAAATCTCAGCCCAAGAATGGCGTACATAGCATTTGAGCTTGATGGTAAAGGGAATAGGCACTGGGGTCCCTGCGTGGAATGGATCCCAGCTCTCCCACCAACCAACTTTGTTGCCTTGGGTACCTCCCTGGACATGATATTTGCTCTTTGTAAAAGAAATGATAATAGTACTCTCTCTTAATGTGGGTGTGCTGATTTGATGAGAAAATAGAATCCATGTGAAGCTTTAGCGCAGGTCCAGCTACATAGCAAATACATGTAGATGTAGCTGCTATTACAAAGCTGCAGATTGATGATGATGGTCAGTGGCCAGGTTTCTGCTGAATGTTGATCTGACTAATGTTGATCTGACCAGAGACCTGAAAGGATGGGCAGCTTCCCAAGAGAACAAGAACAAGATTATGCCCCTCTCTTATTCTGCTTGCAGCCTTCTGAGTGTACTTAGTTGTAAAAGGCTACCCCACAGATTATCAGTATGAAGGTAAAGAAGTCAATAAAAACCACCATAGAAAAGTGTGTTACTTCCAGTAACAGCTTTGACTTAAAGTGTCATGAAAAAGGGAATGTTAAAAAAAAAAAAAAAAGGTGCTATCACTTGCCTCACATACTCTGTTTTGCTCTTGTTGGTACTTGAGCATCCAAATGTGGTAAAAACTCCCTAAGTGATCCTACCATACAGGGTAAGAGGGGAAGAACTGCTCTGATAGCTACTGTTCCTCAAACTAAGCTTTGTTATAAAACCTTATAAAAAGTGCTATTGTGCACTAGTACTGCAAAATGTGGTCCCCATCAACTTGAAAATCAGCATTACCTAAGAGCTTGTTAGAAATATAAAGTCTCAGGCTCCAGCCCAGACCTACAGATGAGAATCTCCAGTTTAATAAGGTCTCCAGGTGATCCCAAAAATTAATATCACACACAAGTAAAATCTTGCTGAAGATAATTAAAAAATGGTTGCAGCAGTATATTGACAGGGAACTGTCAGAAATGCAAGCTAGATTCAGAAGAGGATATAGAATTAGGGTTATCATTGCTTATGTCAGATGGATCTTGGTTGAAAGCAAAGAATACCGGAAAGATGTTTACTTGTGTTTCATTGACTATGCAAAAATGTTCAATTGTGTGGATCATAACAAATTATGGATAACATTGAGAAGAATGGGAATTCCAGAACACTTAATTGTACTCATGAGGAACCTGTACATAGACCAGGAAGCTGTCATTCAAACGGAACAACCTCATGAACAACTGCATGGTTTAAAATCAGGAAGAGAGTGTATCAGGGTTGTATCCTTTCACCATACTTATTCAGTCTGAGCAAATAATCCGAGAAGCTGGACTATATGAAGAAGAATGTGGCATCAGAATTGGAGGAAGACTCATTAATAACCTGTGATATGCAGACGACACGACCTTGCTTGCTGAAAGTGAAGAGGACTTGAAGCACTCACTTGTGAAGATGAAAGACTACAGTCCGCAATATGACTACACCTCAACATAAAGAAAACAAAAGTCCTCACAACTGGACCAATAAGCAACATCACAATAAATGGAGAAAAGAATGAGGTTGTCAAAGATTTCATATTACTTGGTTCCACAATCAACACCAATGGAAGCAGCAGTCAAGAAATCAGACGACGTATTGCTCTGGGCAAATCTTCTGCAAAAGACCTCTTTACAGTGCTGAAGAGCAGAGATGTGTCTTTGAAGACTAAGGTGTGCCTAACCCAACCCGTGGTGTTTTCAGTCACTTCATATGCATGTGAAAGCTGGACAATGAATTAGGAAGACCAAAGGAAGAGTCGATGCTTTTGAGTTGTGGTGTTGGCAAAGAATGCTGAAAGTACCATAGACTTCTAAAAGAACTAACAGATCTGTCCCGGAAAAGTATAGCCAGAGTGTTCCTCGGAAGCAAGAATGGCCAGACGTCGTCTCACCTACTTTGGTCATGTTGTCAGAAGGACAACATGGAGGACAATCCTGGAGAAGGATATCATGCTTAGTAAAGTGTTGTTGTTGTTGTTGTTATGTGTAGGATCACCAAAAAAGGGAAAAGCCCTCAACGAGCTAGCTTGACACAGTGGCTGTAACAATGGGGTCAAGTACAGCAAGGATTTTGAGGATGACGCAGGACCAGGCAGGGTTTCATTGTGTTGTACAGAGGGTAGCTGTGAGTCAGAACCGACTTGATGGCACCTAACAGCGCAACACCATGTGATTCATATGCATATTAAAGTTTGAGAAGCATTGCCACTGCTGGATATCTATATAACTCATCTTGGAGGATGTTCTGCTGGCTCTGTGGACATCAAACTCAAGTACAAGCAGCCTTGAACCCTTACTACTTCCTCTCTGCCAATGCCAATCTACCTGTCCCCAGTCCCAGAATATGGTGTGCCCCACGGCAGCAGCATCCTTCCACTAAGTCAAAGCTTTTGGTTTTCCTAATACCCCTCATCTTCTCTTTCCTCTTTTCCCACCCAGTCATCTCCACATTTTCCGCTTCCCATTTGTCAGGCAAAGGAGCTCTGGTGTCACAGTGGTTAAGTATTTAGCTGCTAACCAAGAGGTTGAACCTACCAGCCACTCTGCCGGAGAAAGATGTGACAATCTGCTTCCATAAGGATTTTCAGCCTTGGAAACCCTATGGGGGCAGTTCTACTCTGTCCTGTAGGGTCACTGTGAGTCTAAATCAACTCAATGGCAGTGGGTTGGGCTGGTTTTGATATATGGCAAAAATATTTCTTAAATGCTTTTGCAGTCAAATTGGCTATAGAAGTGTCCCATGGTTTCTTCTGATATGTATGCGAAAAAAGTCCACTGCCAGCCTTTAAATAATCAGGAACATGCCTTCAGTCCAATCATATTTCTATAATCTGGCATAAGATGAGCATGGAGTAGTTCTGTTTATATGAACAGCATGACATTAACTTATGTTATAATTATAAGCATATAGATGAGTAGTTATTAGATTAATCATGTCTAGGTAAGTTAGGAAAGGATAACAGTAAATCATTATTTGAAACCATTGTTTACTTCAGATATATCAGATGGAAATAAACATTTCTTATACAGACCCCATTTTATATTTCCATTAGTTTGCAAAATTGTTTAGAAAGCCTTTTGGTTTTCACCTTGGAAATTGCTTAGAAAAGGATCCTGCCAGTTCTCAAGTGCTTCCCACCTGCTAATTTAGCTTTTGGAAATCTGCATCTCTATTTTAAAAGAGGACATTTCAGCTAAAAACACCGCTTAACTTCTGGAAGCTTTCTGGGTTGTTTGTGGACTTTTCATAAAAATAGGTCTTTAACTTTAAGAAAAAAAATTCCTCTTTTCTCACATTGTCACTTTGAAATGACTAGGGAAGCAGTTTGGAAAAAATATTTAAAACTTGTATGGAAATGTTGGGAAGGCATCCAGCCTTCTCTCACTTTTCACTCTGGTGTACAGGGACTACTATTCAAGAACAA